TTAATCCCCATGGGCACTCAGAAAATTTTTGAGGAGCTGAATCATCCAGATGGTTCTACTTTATCATCATGGCCACCATAGCTAACCGTTATTGATCACTTAATGTGAGCTTCTGTACTAAGTACATCACATGCATTATCTCTATCGATCCCCAAAACAATCCTCAAAGGTAGACAGATTATTATCTCCACTTTACAGATGAGGAAATGGAGGCTTAGCAAGATTAAGTAAGTCCCCCAAAGTCATATAGCTTGAACCAGTCAGAGAACTGGAAAAGGGTTGGGAGACCTTGGGAATTTCCCCCACCTTCATGAGCCTCAGTCCTCTTCCCCGAAATGAGGGGGCTCTAGGATGAACTTTACCAGTGCTCCTTCTGAAGTCTTCTGGGATCCTCCAGATTTCTGTGGTCCACACTGTAGCCCTGATCTGCATTCCTAGGACAGCCAAGCTTGTGGAGACTGCAGGGTATAATAATTAAGAGTGGGGACTCTGAGGCTGAATTGCCTGGGCTTGAGTTCATGAGTCACTGAAGTGACCTTGGGTATCTCATTGTGCTTATGAATGGCCCAAGCTGTAAAATGGGGGTGACACTAATGGAACCATTTTCTTTTCTTGTGTGAGAGAATTAAATGTGTTAATATTGTCAAGTGCTTAGAACAGCATCTGGCACAGAAAGAGCTCAATGTAAGTTTGTTAAGTATTTTAAACTCCCCTTCCCCTTGCTGATTGGTGAGGTGCCTTGCTTGTGAAGGAAGGTCTGGGATGACTGGTGGATGTGGGGTGGAGGGGGACAGAATTACCCTAGTAATGATGATGAAGCCCAAGAATCAGAGGAACCTTACAGAATCCACTAGGAAGGAGGGGTGGCAGTAGTGAGGGAGACTTCTTTCCTCTTCAGGCAGTTCCAATAAGAGGCCTCCAAAAAATCAAAGCCAGTGCAGGCACTCAGGGAAGGGATGACAGAAAGAGAGGTTTGCAACCCCACCCTAGGCACTCTGATCACTTCCTCAAATAAGGAGGCCACCGGCCTGGCCTAGTGGTTGGCCTGAGCCAGACCCTTTAATTCCTGACAAAGGGTAGGAAACCTATTAATACCCATCCAAAGTTCTTCACAGTTATTTTTAAAGAACCAGAGGGGGGCTCTTGAAGCTGGCAGATAGCCACCCACCAACTACCCTGCATTCCAACTGAGGGGTTGGGGAGCCTTGGATCTGGAAATCCAGGCCAGGCTTTCTGTCTCACCCGGGTGACTTTTTTTTTTTTTAAAATGTGCCAGGAATTCCTCTCCCACGTGGGGTGGACTCCGAGGTACTCAATTAAGCAGCCAATGAAAAGTCAGCTCTCCGGTAGCAAATGACCCTGACACTTCTTGTAACATAAACAGTTGAAACGTTTCCAATTAGAACTGGAGACAGAGACGTTTGAACTCTTTCTCTCTACTCCCCTCCTTCTTTAAAATAATTGTCAAGCGCGTTGGACAGGGTGTTGTATACATGTTTTTTATTTTCTTTTCTTTCCCTAACATAAAAGACATGCATTTTTCTCCTTAAAAAAAAATTGTGGGGTGCCATGTGTGGGCAGAGCGGTGGTGAGCTTAAAGAGATGTTGACCTGGATCCTTGCCTGCGCCTTTCCTGCTCAGGGTTCCAGCTGTGGGTGAGAGCTGGGAGCCACATTGGGTGAGGAATGAATGAGAGCCACAGTCAGGAGAGCTGGGCCTGTCAGCCCACAGCCAGAGTTCAGAAGGGTCTGGGAATGAATGAATGAATGAATGAATGTCTTTCCTTCAGCAAATGCTCTCATGGATACAGCTTGATCAGCCAAAAGGGACACCATTTAGCCAGCTGCCCTGGCTGACCCCTCTGCCCAGCTTAGGCAAATTACTGAGCTTTCTGAGCATCTCTTTTTCATCCTAATATGGGGCCACCCAGCCAGGCCACTTCCCTTGGGAAGGAAGAGAATGCTGTCTGGGTAGCAGTGCCTTTTACATTGTAAGCGCTCCAGCTCTGCCCTTCCTGACTGTGTAGCTTGGTTCTTCAGCCCGGCTCTGCCGAGAAGGCGGCGCTCTGCAAAACCACTTCCATGACACGCAGCCGCCGACGGCTCCTTCTGGGTGCCAGGCTCGGCTCTGGCGCTGGCCCTGGGCTCAGCTCACAGGTGAACTCGACGTGAGTCTACCCTGCAGGAGTGCGCTGGCTCCTGGAGTCATCGGGAGCACAAGCATTGGGGCTGGAGTGGCGTCCAGACCAGAAGCAGAACTGCTGTACTTTTCTGTACGCCATTTCTTTAGGCCTGATTTGGGGGCCCGGGGGCTTCTCTGCCGCCTGTGGACGGGCGCCATCGGAGCCAGTCCGGGGGTAGATGGAGAGAGGGAGGCCTGGCGAGGCGCTGCGTCCCGGGCATCTTGAAGGCATTGTGTTCAATAAATCCGGGCAATACGTACACCCGCTCTCTCCCCCTCCTCCTCTCAGCGCCCAAATCGAGACCTGCTGTAGACCCCCAATTTATAGGGTCTTAAAACCCCCTCCACTTTGATTAGTAGCTTCAAAGAGCTCCCTTTAAAGTTCGTCCCCTCCTGTCCCCCACGTCCTTTATTACAGGCCACCCCTCCCCCATTACCGCTTCTAAGACTTCTGGAGGACCACAACAACAAAACGCTAAATACAAGTTTAAAGGAGGGAGGGGAGAAATCGTCAGGTTTTCTACTGAACGTGGGCTGTAGAAGTGACCGGTTTCAGGCGTGCGCAAGAGACGGAACACGGTGGAGTTTGGTTTTATTTTTTTCTGTTTCTGTTTCTTTTCTTTTTCTATTCCTCCTTCTTCCTCTTCTTTTTTTTTTTTTTTTTGGTTTTTGTGTGTGTTTTCACCTTTTATTATTTAAATTGATACGTTTCATTACTAGAGAGAAAAATAAAATATTCCTTTGATACACAAAATCAAATTGATATTTAGCCTCTGCTTACTTTTTTATGCATGGCTCCTTTATACCACATGGTAGTGACAGATTGTTTGAGCTGGAAGGAAAAGCCATTCAAAGCTAATTAAGCAGCCATTCCAAGCACTATTTGCAAGCGGGAGGCTCAGAAGCCTCGGCATTTGTCAGCGCTCCCCCACCCCGCGTGGTTTTGACTGACAGCTCTGGCCGCCGACTGACAGCGCCCAGCAGCTCCACCAATTAGCAACGGAGAGCCTCCTCAGCGACCTGTGATTGGTCTTCCAAGTCTTGCTTGGGGGCGTGATCAGTGTTTCCCACGTGGGGGCCGGAGCGAGAAAGGGGCGGGGCGAGTGGGAGGTGCGCCCACCCGTGACGTAAGGGGGAGGGCAGAGAAGGGGGAGGAGAAAAGGAGGCTCCAAAGAGGAGCCATTTTGTGTCTAATGAATGCTGCGGCCAGATGCTCGCATCTGTCGAGCCGGGAGTCTTCCCACCCCCCCCTTCGGTGCGCGCCGCACACGATTTATGTTTTTATTTAGGAAAATAAATAAATGAAGAGAGGAGCGCAGTTTGGGGCCGGCGGTCTGAGCGGGAGCGAGGAGGTTCAAATCTGAGGCGGGTGCTCACGTGTAACTCCCGGCGCACCGGCCTCCGAGCTCCCGCTCGCTCTCAGCTCCTCATTAAGATGCAAAAGCTAACCTCCGGCAACTAATGAGAGGAAAATATAGATCCAGGGCGCGCAGCCGGCTCGCGCGCGCCCGCCGCGGGCCCCAGGGTGCGTGCTGGCTCCCGCAGATGCTGGGGAGGGACCCCTGGGGCTCACTTGAGCCGACCACCCGGAGGTGCCCGCTCCGAGGGCCACTTCCCTTGGCCCGTCTGCTCTGACATAACCCTGGGCGCAGGAGATCAAGGCTATTGGTTTGCCGGGCTCCACAGTTGAATGGCTAGTGCGACTACTCAGGCAGTGGGGGCAAGGTGCGCAGGGGTGGGCGAGAGGCGGGCGGGGGAGCGTAGGCACCCCCCTCCGGGGCGTCCTGGCTGGTGACCGAGACACCCACAAGGCTTCCACCAACGCCGTGACATTGCCACATTCAGGCTGAATGAACCGTGTCGGAACTCGGAGTCCTCGGGCCTCGGTCGGGCAAGGCGCCCCTACTTTTCTCCCTCGGCCGGGGACTGCAGTCTGGAGCAGCAAGGCGGAGGCGAGGGCGTTAGTTGTCCCCACTGGGAAGGCGCCCAGAGCGAGGCCAGCGGTGAGCTGAGCCTGTTGTCCGCGGGCAGCCGGCCCTTCCATCTGTGCTGCCCGCCAAGCCAGAGCCCCTCAGACTTCTCCTCTCAGGCAGCCTCCGCACCTCAAAGAAGCTGTTTATTTGGGTTTCTGAAAAGAAAGGCGAGTGAACAAAGAAGCAACGCTGAGGGTAGAGGGGGGAGAAGGGGTTAAAAAAAGGGAACATCCTTAGTTCCCAGCAAATTGTAAAAGGTCGGAGGCAACTTTGGGAGCCACCATTTTATCAGTCCTAAATCTTTTGAAGTGAAAACATTAAAGTGACAAAGTGATTCTGTTTGTTTTATAGTATCTAATTGGACTGCTTTGCAGACCTAATGAGATTAGAGGGAGGAATCGTTCGCCGCTGCTGCAGAATAAACTGATACATTACTACCAGCCACAGGTTTTGAGGCTTGTACAGCTTGTCTTTTTTTCTTTTGTTGTTATTCCTCTGTCTTCTCTCTTTCCTCCTCCTGCCAAATAATTATTTGCTAGTAGATCGTGGGAAAAAAAGAGGAGTAAAAAAACCTCGCAGCCCAGGACTATAATATATATCTATTTATTATATGTCTTTCGGTTAATTCCTGATCTGAGGAGCGCTGTTTTTCACTCCCATGCGAAAGTCACCAGCGGGTAGGGCCTGATTGCTACTTTTCATGCATAGTTTTAGACACAAGAGGGCATTGTGACGTCGCACGCGGCGGCGCCCAGTCGCAGGCCGAGTCGCTAAGCCCCACGTGGGGGCCCCGCGCTCCCATTGGCCAGAGCGGGACGAAGCTGCCACATTATTTTGTTACTTTTCAGTCCCTATTTGGAACTGCTCTCGCGGCAGTTCAGACCTCGTGCTCGTCCCCCTCGCCTGTCTGTGTGTGGTATCCGCAGGTCCGGGGCACTTTTTTTTTTTTTTTTTGCTCTGTGTGTGTGTGTGTGTGTGTGTGTGTTGGGGATTTGTCGGGGCTCGAGGAGAGCCGGCCCGAGGGGAAAGAAGGAAGCTGGGTCTCAGGCTGCGTCTCCCCTCCAGTGCTCTCCTGCCTACGAGCTCTGAGGCGGCAGCTGCGGTGGCACTGAGCACTCCTCTTTAGCGACGCTGCGCTCGATCTGGGAGCAGCGAGGACCCTTAGCGGAGGCTTCCCGTGCCCGCTGGAGTTAGGATGCCAGGGCGGTTGATTTGCACCTATTGAGCTCGGAGTTCCTACCCGGCCCTGGGAAGGGCTTGCGGCGGCGGCGGCGGCGGCGGCAGTAGCAGACGGATCAGCAGGCTGTGTTCTCCGAGGGGGGGCGTCGAAGCGCCCGCGCCGGGCTCCCGCCCTCACCCTCCGGCGCTCCTGCGGCCCCAAGCCGCCACCTCGTTGCCTGACTCCTTCCTCTTCTTCTCGCCGCGAACCCCGGGCCCAGCCGTCTCTAGGACCAGATCCTCGCGCCCCGGATGTTTGGGGCTGCCCCCACGCGGCCCCCTCCTGGCTTGACGCGCTGAGTGATCCGGCGGGGCCCCGAGCTCGCCCCAGGAGGGGCCCCCAGCCTCGGGACCCCGCGCCGGACCCTCCAGGGAGCCGACGATGACCGCGCAGCCCCGGGATCTGACGCTCTCGACGCAGCCCAGAGAAGGCGACCGGCCGAAACCCGCCGAGCCCTAGGCGCACAAAGCCCGCGTCCGTCGCCCGGCCTCGGCGCCCGCCGACGACTTTGCAGCCTGCTCCGCGGCTCTTTGTCTCCACTTGGGGCGGGCGCCCGACTCTGGGATTTCGCTGCGAGAGCGGGCTGGGGGGGCCGGGGGCGAGCTCTCGGTTTCCCGGCCGCCCCCCGCTCTGGTTCGGCTCCCCCCTCCCCCGCACCACTTCGGCCCGGGCTCTCGGCGCTGCCACGCTCTCGGAATCACTACCCCTCCCTGCCATGTATCCGCAAGGCAGACATCCGGTGAGTAATTGCAACTCGGTTTATTTAAGCATCTATCACGGCAGGGTAAACGAGGCAGTTTATCTGGCACCTCCATTTTGCTTTTTGCTACCTTTATGGTGTGTGTTTGTGTGTGTGCGTGTGTATTCTCACACAAAGGGGATGGGGACGCGGGTGCGTCTTTGAGAGAGGAGGTTTAATTCCGCCCGACTGGTGCGGGGAGCTGCCTGTGTTCCGGGGGGAGTTGTTCGCTCTGCCCCCTGCCTCCTCTCCTAAGTCTCCCACCTCCCCCAGCAGGTCTCCACGCTCCTGCCTTACTTTTGAATGGGAGACCCTTGGTGAAAGGGGTGGGAGTCCCACTGCCCAAAGGGAGGGATGGGACGCCCCCCACTTCGCCCAGCCGGGGAGCTGAGAAACTTGCTGGGAAGCTTCTGGGTTGAGGATGGCCTGTCTGGTTGGGCGCCGGCGGGGAGGGGCTGGGGCCGCCTAGCAGGAGCCAGGGCAGCTCGTTGCTGCGTCTGATGCCCCCGCCCCCTTCCCCTGTCTTGTCTTCGCGGGTTGCAGGCTCCCCATCAACCCGGGCAGCCGGGATTTAAATTCACGGTGGCTGAGTCTTGTGACAGGATCAAAGACGAATTCCAGTTTCTGCAAGCTCAATATCACAGGTAAGGCTGGCGGGGGCCGGCCCCGGGTTGGCTGGGAGGGGGCGTCCGTGGCTTGGCTCCTGCCAACCCCCCGCGGGTCGGAGGGGGCTCCCGACCCCGGGGCGGCGGGGCAGCCCTGGCCTCCGCCTTTTGTTTCCCCTTTCTGAGCGCGCCACCTTAACCCCTTGCTGCCCGAAGCCGCCCGGTTCCCAGCGCCGCCCACGGGGCCCCGGGATGTGGTTCTGCGTAGGTTCTGTGTTGGCGGGCGGGTTTGCTCCGGGTCCGGGGAGGGGGGGCGTCGAACCGGTGTCACGGTCCCACTCCCCCGCGGCTGACTTGGTGGAATAAGTCAAGTCCACTCGCTGGGCTGCGCGAAGTTTTGAGCTGTTTCACATCCCCCTCCCTATGGCAGGAACTCAATCCCCCTGTGTCTTTTGGCTGCGGGGTGATGGGGTACTCCCGGGGGTGTCAGGGAAGTGGGATAGTGGTTCTCAGAGGCCCTTGGGTTGGGGCCTTGGAGGAGGCTGTGCGGGCGCCAGGCTTGAGCCTGCTCCTCCTGCCCCCGCAGCCTCAAAGTGGAGTACGACAAGCTGGCGAACGAGAAGACAGAGATGCAGCGCCATTATGTGATGGTGAGAGGCGGCCACGGGCCTGGGAGGGCGCCAACCCCGGACGGGGGCGCGGCGTGCATCCGGGGAGACTGGAGCTTGGTTCTCACCATGGCTCAGCCACAGGGCAGCCCTGGGAGCCGGTGTAATCTGATTGTGCTCCCTGCCCCTTCCCCTTGGTCCCTTAGCCAGGCTCTCTTGAGGAGGGTGGGTAAGGGAACAACCCAGATTCTAGGCTGGGGACCTTTGTATGCCTTTAATTTGTGTTTTGAAGGTTTCCCAGAGGCTAGATGCCCTACCTTCAATTGTAAGATAGGATTAGATCAGCCTGTCAGGGTTGGATAAAAATCTCTCTTAGAGACCTCCTGGGAGTGTTTGGAAACTTTTCTGCTTTGCAGTCCTGGGATCTTGCCAGAGTGGGACAGAAGCCCTCCTTCCCCAGGGTTTTCTGAAGAGTGGAGGAGCCTTTTAAAGCCCTCTGCATCTGCCCCTCTCCTCTGGGAGACTGAAATCTCCCTCTAAGGGAGATGCCCTGAGAGTCTAGTCAGCCCTTGACAGTAGGTAGACTGTCTCATCTCTGCCCAGTGTCTGTTCCAGCAAGTCTAAATCTTCCATTTGTGAGGGCATTGAGGCACTCAAGCACATCTCTCTGCACTGCCTTCTAGAGAAGAGGCCTTCGACACAGTGCTAAATAACTCTCAGAGGACAAGAGGGTCCCAGTGTACACTTGATTCCCTGTTGAAGCCCAACCTTGCATAAACAGGATATATGGCACTTGCAGTGCTTGTGGGAGGGAGGGCTCCTCTTCCTTCCCTATCTATAATGTTCTGTTGAGAGGAGAGGGACTCACCCTCATCAGTTCTTAAATCTCTCAGTAAGTTGGTTTTGGGGTTTGATTTAAAACTTCTTTAGCAAATGTATCATAAAAGTATGACTTGGCCAAACCTTACCGAGAAAATACTGGTTTTGAAAAATGAATAGATTCTAGTGTTGTGTGTTAATGCAGTTCTTTTCACTTTTAGTACTATGAGATGTCCTATGGCTTGAACATTGAAATGCACAAGCAGGTAAGTACTTTTCTCTTTGAAATAGATTTCATTATTTAAAAACTTACATACGTGAACTTCTTTTTTATGTTCCCTCTCATTTGAAAATGAGCCTGGTTCTTCTGTTCCTCCCACTTTTCCTTGAAGAGTGAATGGATCCGGTCTTGAAATGCTGGGTCTGAGGCTTTGCAGATTCTTTGGACCCGAAAAGCTTTTAGCATTGGAACTTTTATCCTCCACCAAGTCCACCTGGTCTTGGTGGAGGATAAAAGACCAAAGGGAAAGTTGGGACCTCTAGAATCTGTTTTACAAAACTCCTGAACCACTCCAGAGGTGGATGGTTGCTTTTATCTGTTTTAATGTAAAATTCTCAAGAGGAAATGCAGGAAGATTTCTTTTCTTTCTTCTTCTTTTCTTCTTTCCTCTTTTTTTTTTTTTTTTTTTTAGCAAAAATGTGATGTTCTGCCTTGATAAGATTAAACTCCTAGTGCCTTAAAAGCCAGACTTGAGCTGTAGAAACGTAAGGGAACAAAACTACTAACTGCTGAAAAACCTAAAGCCAGAATACAGTACAACTCTGATGCTTTGCATTACCGTCTCTGTCTTTGTTTGAAGGCAGCTGTGTTCCCATTTCACAGAGAAGGAGGCTGAAGCTCCAGGGGTGAAGTAACTTGCCCAGGGGCAGCCAGGACTTTGTAGATGGCTGGGGGTTGAGCTTAGCTTTGAAATCCTGAAGTCAAACCAGTTTAGCTAGTGTGGTGGTGTTTGATGGCTATGTAAACTACCTCATATTGTCACCCTTCTAATAACAGTATACCTCAAACCGAGCAAATACAAACACCCTTTATCTCAGTGCATATCAGTAACTAGCCCGGTGCTAGGCTGGGCTGTGGGAGAGGTCTGTTTGTGTATTTGTGTTCTGAGGAAAGGCTGCCTATAATTTGGCTTGGCCAACGATTAGAGTTGACTTGGCACGTATAAATGGTGCAGGCCGGTTGTTCTTTTTAACAATTGGTGTTCTTGAAATCTCAGAAGGCTGTTGACTCATTCTAGCCTTTGGTGACCGTGACTTGAATGGATTTTCTGCTCTAAATTAACAGTCGTTTACAAGGTTTAAACTTTGCTCTTTAAAGGGGCAGGACCCAGGGCAGGTGAGAAGGGCAGGTGACCCTTGGAAAGCATGCAGATTCTTGCCCGCTCCACTGGCTTCCTATAGAGCCTTTCAAATCTGTACTTTCCTCTCCAGGCCTGGAGGGAGCCCCGGTGTTGGGTGAAGGGCAGCCAAAAAGGGGGCTGAGTTTATTGAGCAATGTGAGAAGCCAGCTGTGGCTTCCTGAGGGATTAGTTTCTTAGGCAGGCACATGAAGGCTACCATATTTTTACTTCTTGACACACAAAAATAATAAACAGACCGGCTTTATACATGAAGGTGTTTCTTCTTGGGAGGATAGACCTAGAGACAGGTTCTGCCAACTCCAGGCGGAACTGACCGGGTCTGTTAAATCCAGTAAGAATGCATGAGTGGATCCGGGGTCCCAGGTGTGTGGGGGACCTTAGGGTGTTACACGAGGTGCTACTTCCTCCCTTTCTTCGCTGACCCTTTTTTTTTTTAAATCTTTTTTTCTCAGTGCTTAGTATCTTGGGTGTGCTTAAAGAGGGTAATTGCACCCAGGTTTAAAATTTATAGCAGTAGTTATTCTAAGAGCTTCATAATTAAGGTGTAATATCTTGTTGCATGTTGAGGTCTGCATGGGCGGTGTTCCTATATCTGTGAGGGGATGGTTCTTTGGCACAAAGGACCCACCTAGGCTAGCAACAAAGCTGTTCTCTGAGTCTTGAGGACTCTGAAAGCAGGAAGAATTAAACATCTTGATGCGTTTGGTGTTGGGGTTTGTCTAAAGAGCAGCTGTGTGCATCTGGGATTTCTGGCCATTCCCCCAAACAGGGTTCTTAGGGGAAAAATGTCTGAGGTTTGGCTACTTTGTCTCATTTAATCCTCTCAGCTGCCAGTGGTGGATGGAGGGATTCTTTGCCCCCTTTTTATAGAGGAGGAAACCAAGGCCTCAGGGAAGCCAGGAGAGCAGAGCTAGGGCTCAAATCTGGGCCTCTGGATTCCCAGCTGGGCACTTTCCCCTGCTTGCCACTCACCTTTGCCTTCTAGCCTCAGTTCCTGGCACAAATATGTTTGTTCTGAGTGCCAGGCCTTTTCAGGCTTAAGGCAGTCTGTGAGCTGGGTGAAATCACCCTGGGCCTGTGGAGGAACAAAGAGGCAAGGAGATGAAGAAACTCTGCACTGAAAAATGCAACCCTGACCTCATGGGGCTGGCCACTCCCTAGGTTTGCCAGGTTCTGTAGAAGAAAAGCCCTGCCACTAATTGTAGTGTGGGTCTTGGGTGCATTTGGCGGATGGTGGTTAGGCCTGAGCAAACAAGTTTATCAGCTGACCTGTTTAGCGGTTGACTGGTGTTTTATCTGCACACACAATCAAGTGACTGGAGTGCTTGAATTATTCATGCAGTGTCCTGCCCTCTAGACTTGACTGTTCGTGTGATTACATCTGCCTGGAACAAACAGGCAGGATTCTTCATCTTTAAGCTCAGGGTTGGGGGTGGGGACTGTCTGTACTTTTATATAATAGATGATCTACAGAGCTAGCACCTTGGGAAGTGTGGCAGTCCCCAGCTAGCACTCTGCGCGCGCGCTCTCTCTCTCTGTCACACACACACACACACACACACACACACAAATACAATGCACATGCACACACACCCCACCACCACCATATATTTTTTTTAAAAGCTCTTCTTTGCTGGCTCTATGGGAAATGCCAATTAGCTGAGAACCTCGAGTTCTGCCAGATGGGCCTGGGTATTGACAGAGGGCAGTTGATGAGGTGCGTCCTGCCCATTTTTATTTTACTGAGAGGTTAAACTCACTGTGGCTGGCTTCCTCCCTGGCTGTTTCTCTGTCTACCTCTCTTTTTCCAAGCTGTCAAATCCCATAGAAGTAATAAATGGTTTTTCCTCCTCCTCTTCTGCGTCCCTCCCTAATTATGGTAAAGCAAAGATTACAGAATCACAGGCCTGGCCCAGGACTTCAAGAGGTCACCCACCTCCTCCAAGCCCCTGCTTCCAGGCAGAATGTCAAGGGTGATTCAGTGAGGCCAGGGAGGCAGTGATGGCTGATCACCTCATCAGTTGCCATCTTGTTCCTGCGGAGGCTTTCTAATGTCAGCCACAAATAACAAAGCCAGCTCAGAAACAAGGGCTCCAGAGCAATGGTGTGTGTTGCACTTGAGGCACTGGTACTGTGGGAAGCTGGGACCTTTTCACCCTCTGTTTTGAGCACTAATGTTTTGAAAGTGGACTTGACAGATTTTGCTTTGAGGGCAGTGTCATGCCAACACAACATAGTCTTACCTTTTTCTGTTAACCAAACAGCATTTCCTATAAATTTATTTTTATATCCTGGAACTGGAAGAGCCCTTTGGCTTCTCGTGCAAACCTTTCAAAGTACAGATGAGGAAACTGAGGCCCAGAGAGCCAATGTACTTAGAGTCATTCAGTCCTACATGAGTGGTAAAGCTGCTATTGCAAGCTTCCCTGCCAACCCCAGGTCTCTTTTTTGCAAGACTTAAGAAGTGAAAAGTGTTTCTTTCCTAACTAGTAGCACTCTGTGTCTTTAATTGCCATTGCTCTTCCTCCATTATTATCCCAAGAGGCTAAGACTACAAACCTGGCTCCACCCAAGTCCAAAGTACCGCATTTCAGGTTGTATAACCATATCAGCTGAATCTTCTTTGTCCACAGTCCTGTTCTGAATTGCAAGCTGTTTGCACAACTAATGATTTGATATGTGTAGTAATAACACAGAGTGCATAACTAGCAATCCCCACAGACGGGGTAAAGGTGGTAAAATCGGTGAATTTTTTGCCTCAGCCGAGCTACAAGGATGTCCATAAACACAGGGCTGAAGTGGGTAGTGGAAAGTCCCCATTTGTCATTTGTCACTCCTCTCTCTTCTCTGGGTCTTGTCACCTAAGTAATGAGGGGCTTGCTTGAAGTTCTGTGAGTGTGGTGTGGGTGCTGGTGGCCAGAGGGGAGCCACCATGTAAGGAGAAGGTGAGACATCTCTCAAAATAGAAGTGAACACAGGTCCTTATACTAGGGCAGTGCCTATTTGTGTGCTATCTGGGTGGAGCTGAAATTCATGTATTTTTGCCTAAGTGCTTACATCCAAGAACCCCTCTATACTCTGGTTTCCATGTGCCCTTCCCTGCCTTATCTCTCTTCCCTGGAAAAGACCTTCTAATCCTACCAGTCTAAGTCTGCCTTGCTCAACTTTGGGGTCTGCTGAGGGGAAAGCTCCCTTTAGCCTGTCCTGTCTACCTAGAGAGGGGCTGCCCCTTTCTTTAAAACTGCCATCTACCCCAGGCTTCTTAGAGCCCCTTTTGTCTAGTAGTCAATGGCATTGTGTAGAGTAGGGGGTTCTCTGCTTCTCTAGGTCTTTTTTTTTACTGGGTATTTAACCATCAAAGTGACTCGAGGAGATGGGCAAATGGTCCCTTGTACTTTACAGATCAAGGAAAGAGCCTGGGTGGGAACCTGGCTCATTCCATGGGCCTGGCACAGTGGTTCATACCTGTAATCCTAGCACTCTGACTCTGGGAGGCTAAGGCAAGTGGATTGCTTGAGCTCAGGAGTTTGAAACCAGTGTGAGCAAGAGCAAGACCCCATCTCTACTAAAAATAGAAAAACTAGCCAGACATTGTGGCAGGTGCCTGTAGTCCTGGCTATTCAGGAGGCTAAGGCAGGAGGATTACTTGAACTAAAGAGTTTAAGGTTGCTGTAAGCTATGGTGATGCCATGGGACTCTAGCTTGAGCGACAGAGTGAGGCTCTGTCTCCAAAAAAAAAAAAAAACTCATTCCATGGGCCAGGCGCCTTGGAGGGACAGTTTTCCCCTCTTTGGACTCCTCCCTCCTACCTAGTGTAGGAAAGGTCTAGTTTATGTTAGAGGTCC